GGAGGTCGGGCTCCGGGGGTGAGGTCTGCGGCGGTTGCGGCCGTTGCTGCTGCTGCTGATGGTGTCGACTGAACACTAACACAAACGTCTTGCCATTGTCTGTAATACAGTAGCCGTTGGCGCCGAACAGCGCGGTGTCCGAGTCCTTGAAGATCTCGATATCACATAAGCTGTTGGTGTCGGAGGTGTGGTTGGCTTTGCAGCGCACCAGAAGGTTGTCCGACTCGTCGATCACTTGGATCCGCACGGATGAGGCGAACCGCGGCTTCAGCTCAAAGCCCTCCGAAGACAACTCGTTGACTATCACCTCATCGAACACGACAGCCATGGCTTGCGGTGATGATTGTCGAGCCTCTTGAGCGACGGTTGTGATCGGCGTCGATGTCTGCGAGGATGAGTTCGCACGTGCGGTGCAGTTGTGGTGGCAATCGGTGGTGACTGTCGCTGTCGATGACCACGTGATGTACTTTACAGTCGATGATCTGTTCCCGGCTCGCGATGAATGGTATTCGTGATGATAATCGGCTAAAAGTGGTCACAATTGGCATTAACTACACATTTGATACATTGAGAAACGGTTTATGCGGTTATCATAGAAACTGCGGGCGAAGTATGGGTTTAAAAAATGATACTTTTTTTGTGTCCACCGTTTGAAAAGGGGATGCTAATATTTCAAATCAATTCAACAAATATAATACAAAATCAAATGACAATCGCATTGCGAGTCCACTACACGACCAGTGCGTGCATTGTAGCCAACAGTCAATTGTTTGTCACACAAAAAACACACACAATGAACATTACGCCTACAGTCCACTCCCGATATACTGTACGTCACCCATAAAACTCTGTATTTCCACTCGTATAGCGATAGTTATAACAGTTTTAATTAGTTGTACTAAACGTGTGGCTAATTAGCGAGTTTTGTGTAATTAATTGTGCGATTAATTAGGTGTTTATGAGTTTTAATTAGTTTTATGGGGAGACCGCGTGTATGCCATTCATTAGCGATTTTCGATGAGTCGCTCATAAAGTATGTTACGCTTTGATTGGCGATAAAGTTTGCGAGTTTTAGCACCCGATGGCATACCGGCGTCTAGTTCGCTGGCTAATGATCCTGGTATTATAGCAATTACCCCAGTGTGAGTGGACGCAAATTGATCATGGTAACTTGGCTGATAAGTGTGCCCACGTTTCGCTTATAGATTACGGGCTATTATGAAGTAATTTTCTGTGCGAAAGCCATGACTACCATAGCGTACGGCGCTGTAGTCATAGCTATACTGCAAATATCAATGCAATTAAATGTTACATTAATTTTTCGGTTTAATTCCGGTTATCATAGCTATTGTTA